CTAGGATCCTATGATCCTATATTATGAATGGGATATCAAGAAAAAGAAACAACACAATGACCATGGTCCAGTACTGGAACAATTTCCAGAGAGGCTGTCAAATCTCTATCACTGTGTATATATAGAAGTTTACTGGACAAGGATATAAGGACTTTTAGGGACATGGTTTAGTGGACGTGGTGGTGTTGGGTTGACGGTTGGACTGGATGATTTTTGAGGGCTTTTCCAACCTCAGTGATTCTATGATTCTATGATTCTATGATTCTATACTCCATTACTATCCTCTTCCCATGTTTTCACACAGTCAGAAATGAAACCCTCCTCTCCAGGACACAAATCCTGGCTGAAGTCAGAGTGGATGGAGGTGGTGTAGAAATGGGTTCACGTTGTCTAATTTCAGGCAGTGAGCTCAGTTAAGTCTCCTCTTCAACTGCCTTCACGCCGAATTTGAATGTAGAACTGTGTGAATGTCTTCCTCAGCCCTTCATCCTCCTGTCCCTGTAGTGTGTCAGTCATCTGGTGGACACAGTCTGTAAATCCAGCTCCAATAAATCTTAATTATTTACGTCAACTTTTACAGTTCTTTTTGGAGAGACTGTGAGAGGACCATCTTATTGCAGCTGACATTGGGCACCTTAATTATCCGACTTGCAACTAACCTGAGCTGGAGAAGTGTATGTGTGTGTCTCCCTCTTTCTCTCTGTCTTATGTTTTTTCTCTATATCTTCAGATTTTGATGAAATGTGGAAAAGAAATTTTCCTTTGAAATCACTAAACATTTCACTGGCCATAAGAGCCATTTCTCATCCATCTCCAGTCAACATTTCATGTCCTTAATTTCTGATAAAGGAACAATCTTATAATGAGCAATCAGAAATGACATCATTAAAGTTAGAGATGTAAAAGGGAGCTACAGGACTGAGATGGTACCAGCACACATCTTACTTCTACAGGAGATTCCCTAACTCTCTGAAGATGAACCATGAAGGCTGGTTGATGTCATATCAGGTGGGGTTTGTGTTAGATTTCTGCTTCTGGGTGGAATAAAGACCATAGGGGAACTAGAAAAGAGGTCATTTCAGTCCCTTGCTCGGTGATTTTATGGGGCATGGGTTGTAAAACTTGTGATATTGCTGCATACAATGAGAAGAAGTTGTGTGTGTTAACACTCCTCTTCTGTTCCTTCTAATATACAAATGGGGAGTGAGGCAGGCATAGGGCTGGGAGGGGGTCATCTTTGGAGGGGTCTCAGACATGCAGCTTCTGATGCAAAGATTTTACTGCTGGTAAAGTACAGATACTGGCAGAAGTTGTCACCATCCAGATAAAACCTTTTTTTTTTTTTTTTCCCTTCTCTATCAGGAGCTACCTATAACATCTCCCCATTGGTAGAATAAATCTGATAAAAAAAACGTAGTTGTAAGCAGCAACGAATTTATCCTAGTGAAAAAAAATTATCCAATAGAAAAAATGTTGTGCCTGGGCAAAATTCTTCAGATATGATGAATAACAGCATAGTATGACCCTCAGTCCTAAGAATTTAGTTTTAAAAGAACTACTGAGCATATCAGATATACTCAACTTTTTCTCTCCTATCATTTTTTTTTCACAGGCAGTTTGGTTTACAGATACATCTTGACAAAAATCTGCCACAGGCAAATTTCATCAAAAGAACAACTTCAAACACATCCAATTAACAATTTATGAAAGGAAATCCAACAGAAAATTACACAGAGATTCACAGGGCCTAAAATTTGACACTAAATCAAATCTAATGTGGAAATGCCTCTATAGGGAGTTATAGCCCCTTCCAGTGCATTGTCAAAAGGAACTTTATCTGTGGAGGCTCCATGAGTGCCCTCCATCATATCTTTTCTTGCTATAAATAAAATATTTTGTCAGACATGGCAATAAGCACAACTCAAAAGGGAATGAAAACCACGGATAAACCAAGCTATATGCAGTTTTCAATCAGAGGTATTAAAAGTCATTAGATTTCTTCACACTTTCGAATCTAGGATTTGTTCACTTTATCACAGAAATGAGGGGCAATGTACCATCAACAAACACAAAACCACTTTTAATTTGTTAGCACAGCCAGCCACCATACATACCCCGATAGCAGGTCATGGTGACTATATTTAAAGTTACTATGGAGCCATTTTTATGTCTGGAAGGAAATTTCAGCCCCCCTGCATCGTCTTATCTCCTGATTTACTCACTCATTCAGCAGCCATGGTTGGATTTGCTCGAAAGATGTTAAGGATACAAACTCACATAATTGCCTTCAGCAGCTCTGAAATTAACTTAAGCCACTACTTTGTTTAGAGAAAAACATCTGTGTCTAGACCATTATCTATTTAAACACATGAATAGCCGGCTTTTGTAAGAGATGACTGATCAGCATCACTTGCATTGCGCTATTTGGATTATTTGGGGGAGCATGTTATTTACAGATGCCAGGACCAACAGGTGGGGATGACTAATAGAGTTGACACAGGCCAAGATCAAGCATATTTGTGATACCACTGTGGTATTACATGGACTACAATAATTTGAAGTGTTGGTTGCTGTATCGCTGGCTCTCCTGTTAGTCCAGTGCTCCCACATCAGAACAGAACAGGAAACATTTGATAACTTGTAAATTTGTTATCTTCCACCGAAATGCATATCTGCGTAGGAAGGCGTGGCTTTAAGTCCCCATTCATGTGCATTTAGGTCCATGGCACAGCGTCCTTGCTGTGACAGTAGTACAAGAATTTCATTAGATCACTGTTTTCCTGTGTCTTCAGAGGGCAGACACTGGGGCTCTTCCAGCCTACTTGGCGTTGTGCAGTATAATTGCCTCTGCATGTGCTACTTAGCCCACTGGTGAAGTTGAGAGGACACCTCTGCCACTGTAAATGAAGCATTAGAATACCCCAAGAGGTTTTTTCTTGAGTCCATTAATATATGCTTTTGGCAGTGAAACACTCTACCAGATAAGTTAGTGTCCAAAGCATGTAATAATTAGTGAATAAAACACCCCCAGAGTACCTTAATCCTGTATAAATGTGTCTTTTAAAGTGTAAATGAATTTTTAACCTAATTTTAAATTATGATTTCCTTCCTGTAACACACCCTTTCTCTGTAGATAACAGATCCCAGGGAAGCAGAAGGTGAAACAAAGACAGACATTAATGTCAAAGATTTTTATCTTCTGTTTATATTTTTGAAAGGTATTTGACTGTTTACTACCAATTTTTCTGTATGCCTCTACTTCTTCCATCACCCCACTTCCTTCATCACGTTGTATAATTTTCCTTGTCTGCAACTGGGTGATGATGATGATAATAATAATAGTGAATTTTACTTTCGTTAGGCAAAGTCTAGATTTAGGCAACTGCAAAAGTTCTTTAGTTTCTAAATGCAGAAATTATACAGTTTTTAAAAAATTAAAGAGTTAAAGAGTTAAATAAGAGTTTCCAGATGCCCGATATTCTTCAAAATCTAGCCAGCTATTGTGTCTAAATGTGACTGTAAGAGTTAAATGTTACCCATTCCATGCCTTCTTCACAGTTCCTCCAAGGCAGATCTCTGAGCAAACAAGCAAGAAGTAAAACACATTATAAGTGACTTTTTTTTTTTTCTCATTCCCTTGCCTCCCTCATGCATGTTTGATTAGGCTTCTCGTTCTTGCCATGGTGATTTGGCATTGCTTCCACTGGAACTTCCAGTCCAGTCCTCCCAGTTCTTCCAGTTCTCCAGTCCTTCTGTGCCCTTCCAGCAAGCTGCCCGATGGCCTCGCTTCCTATTCAGTCTGTGGGAATTCAGGGCATTTAATATCTTTGACAACTTAGCCACAGCAAGACAGCAAAGGCCTTTATTTCTCAGGTACAAGTCGTTGAAAAGCCCCAGTGTTTGTGCTTCAGAAAAGCCCAGGTTCAGACAACTGAACATCCCCCTGAATTCTTGTGCTTGTTTTCTCCTGTAGCTTTCAGAGTCTTTGGGGACATTCAGGTCAAGAATGTGCTGTAGAGACTGCCATTTCTTCTTTCAACTTCAGAGCATTGAAAGCACTTGGATTGTAACTTTTGATTAGGAGTCAAAGCTCAGTGCAAGGCCAGTTTAAAGGACCATGTGCGTTGTTTGATGTGAAATATTCACGCAGTTGTAGGATTGGAGTCTTCAGCAGCGCCTATTAGTTTAGGACTTGAGCTCAGCCTCCTGTTTCTCCAAACCAACTTTGTGTTGGTTCATTCTCTGAGTCCAGTCTAGACTGAACCTAATGCCTCTGTAGGCACAGAGGCTAAAGGCTGGGAGGAGGAGAAGACCTTGTTAAACCTGTGCCCCTACATGCAGTGTAGATGCAGCTGGATCATAAACAGACTCTTTCAATCTGGATCTGAATACAAGCACAGCTCCCAAAGGCAGTATGAACATCTTAACTACCTAGAAAATGGTACCTGATGTGTACGCAACATCAAGTCAACTCTATAGAGTGAACACCATGAAACCGTGAGTGGCTCAAACTGATGACCATGCAGTCACATTACTATAATAATTTTTTTAAGCTGTATTTAGTTTATCTCATAAATAGACAAGATAGCATCCATTGTTACACTGAATGTTGCAAGTTGGATCATAAAGTCTTCAAGGCAAATGCATAGGCTTTACGTCTGCCTGAGAAAGTATCTAATTCCAGAAGAATTTGCAGGAAAGTCAACAGGGTAAATGTGTCATTTTTCAGATGCACGTAAATGTTTTGTTCTGTCAGAACGGTCGGAAAATTGAAGCTGGTTGCTGGGGCTCAAATGTAGCTCAGGAGATCTGGCTTCAGGTCCTAACACTTTCTTCAAGACTCGATGTTTCCTCTCATGTAACTTACTCTTCTCCTCTTCACCTTTTCACCACTGTTTATGCAATCTATTATATTACTATTTTCTTCTCCCTTAAGAAGGCTATGGAAAAATGAACAATATTTAGACTTCCTTTGCTTTCTTTCCATTCTCCTATCTCAGCAGAGTCCTAGGACCCCCTTCTCTGACCTACCTGACGATGAGAAGATCTTTAACAGGGGAGATGGCATGTGGCAGAACCAGAGCCAGGATCAAGCCTTGCTTTCGGAAATCACAGAAGAGGATCTGGAGGCCATCCGTCAGCGGGAAGAGGCCATTCAGCAGATTGAGGTCAGTAACTTTCTCCCGTCATGGGCTTGCGACCTGGAAGTGCAGATTCCTTGTGTTGTGCATTGCTCAACATGATGAAGGAAATGCTGATTTACATGGCCGCCTGTACAGCATCGCTAAACATGGGAGAGATTATCAGGTGTTTCTAAACATGGCAATCAGTGGCAGGAGGAAGAATCAGAAATCCATATGACCTGCAATGAAAATGACAAGAATTAATTAATGTTCAAGGGCTAACGTCTGGTTTTTTTCAGTGGGTCTTCCATAACAGAGTCTATGGTGAGGTAGTTAAATTGAGCTTGGTTCTGCAGCAAAACAACTTTCTTAGTGCATGCAAACTTGAAACTGGAATTTTTCACAGACAGAAAATATTCAGCTTTACCATTAGGGAGAATAATAGGTAGAAGAAAGGAAATAAGTTGTTAACTTTTTCAAATAATTCAATATTTTTGCTTTATCAAAGTATTTGGACGTTCTTGATGTAGTTAAAAGAAGACATTATTTTTATTCCCTTTTTTTTAAAAGTGCTATAAATAAAATATGAAAAAAAGGAACAAAAAGAGGTCTGAATAAGTTAAGCATCCCACATTTTTCTTTTTATACTTCTCTTTTTATGCTTTTGGGAAACTCTTCTTACTCAAATTTAAGCAATAAATGAGTAAAACCAGAACATTTTAAATCTTTCTAATTTGTATGCTTTTACAGGCATAAACTTAAGATGAACCAAAAAAAAAGAGGGCTTCAGAATAATCAGAACATTTAATTAAGGACTATACTTCGTCCTTTAATTGGATTGAGCTAATTTTATCAGAATAGATTTTGGATGCAGCATAGCAGGAATTGTGATTGAGTTAACGGTGCAAAAAGGGGACAAACGTTCCTGCTGTAGACCGCTGCTTTGAGGCTTTGACCTCTGTTTGCAGACTGTGATAGCTACATATGATTCAACACCGTAAGTAAGAAATTTTGATAGTTTTACAGGAGTGGGTCGAGGTTAGTGTATGTCTAATTTCTGTTATGGTTTGCTGAACAGAGATGATTGAGCTTTGTGGACTTGCGTGCATTGTTAGGGATGAAATTGTTAAAGAATATTCTCACACTGAGTATCCTTGGGTGTGAATTGTCCTTTCATACTTGAGGAGTCTCTTTGCATCCACCGGGACAAACTCTAGGGAACTTTGTTACAAAAGAATGCATGTTTTGGGCTATTCCTGCACTTTGATGTTCAAGAAGGATGGATGCAAAGGTATTTCTGAAATGGTGTTGTGGACACAAAGGATATTATTGTGATCCTTTTGTTTGAAACATAGTCGCTGCCTTTTTCTTTCCATCTTTATGTTGCCTCCTGTCCTCCCCAGAAAAAAAAAAAAACACATTTGGTGTTTGCCCATTGAGGCGGTGGAGAATGACAAACCCCGAGCCAGCCTCAAGCGCACCAACTTTGGAAAATCAAGAGGTGCAGTCATGCCTCCGTAGAGAGATCCTTATTTTGCTGGTTAAATCCCATTTCTGTGCCACAAGCCGATATCTCTGCATGGGGCTGCACTGGACCACGTGGCCATGGTGGGGTACTTCGGGCGAGTTAAGTGAATCCAGTCCCAGCCCCACATAACTTCTAAATAAATGCAACACTCACATATTGGGCAGGTCGTGTATCTATTGATTCGGTAGATCCTGTATACCTTTCTGCCTAATATGAATTTACCTCTGAATAACTTACTCAACTTATGCAGCTAATAACTTACTCAATTTAAGCTGTCAATATTGTTCAGCCTTCTGCTTCCTAAGAATGTGCGCGCTTTCTTTTTACCTGCTTTTTCCCTATCTGCACCATAACTCCATTCATTTTGCTTTGCTATCCAAGATCCATATTCATCCTGTAAGGAGGACTGCATTCCACATGCATTATTTCAAATGTAGCTTAAACATTTCTCCTCAGGAGGAAAACATTTACGACCAATAGTATTTTATTTAACATTTCTTTTGAAACAAATATAATGAAAATGAAATGGATTTTTGGACTGTGTCGTACCTCTCCCCAGCTGTATTTGAATAAGCAGATGGTGCTTTTAAATCATTTTCACTGGGTTTTGTTTTTCTGTTTGTTGACCCACACAAACATATTTCTTGTGAAAGGACTCATCTTGCCCATTAAAACTTCCCTGATTTCATTAGAAGTTGTGGGTATACAGAGAAGGGACTTGGTGAGCTCATAGTCACCCTTACAACTTTTTTCCAATATGTTTTCAAAACCAGTAAGTAACCAAGAAGGTTAAAAGGAAACATTATTCCTAACTGTCAAACACAGCTAATAAACTAAATTTATTGCCAAATTGATGTATAGCATTTGTTCTCCTTTGCTCTTTGGGGACCAGAATGAAGAACAGAGCTGTGCAAGACATATCTTATGCAAGTAGATTGGTCTTCCTGGGATTTTTACGTTTCTGCATGTGTAGCTCTTAAGCAGCACAGAACAGGTCACAGATCATTGCTAGAACATCATATCTTCTGGGCCACACCGATTAGCACACAACTTTGGAGAAGCTCATGGTGCTGGTACCAGTAATGGGCCTTTTTTTTTAAGAGACATTGAATTTGCCCTTTTTGCAAGAACAGGTATAAAACCTTTTTCATTGCTAAAAAAATGAGGAAATAAATCCTCTTCCCATCTTGTGTCCTGAAAAACAGATACAAAATTGTGCCCATAATAGATATCTTCTTAATGTTCCAATGGCTCTTTCCCACTTGTGTGTTTTCCACATCTCCAGATTCTCTTCAGAGGTTCAGGTTAATGGGACATTGTTCTCTGTCATGAACATCCCTTGAGGCATTTTTCAGCGTGAAATGAGGAAATAAATCCTCTTCCCGTCTTGTGTCCTGAAAAACAGATACAAAATTGTGCCCATAATAGATATCTTCTTAATGTTCCAATGGCTCTTTCCCACTTGTGTGTTTTCCACATCTCCAGATTCTCTTCAGAGGTTCAGGTTAATGGGACATTGTTCTCTGTCATGAACATCCCTTGAGGCATTTTTCAGCGTTCACAGTTTCTACCTAGAAAGATAACAGCCATGTCAAAAGTTCGGCTGGCTGTTCATTTTATTTAAATGTGCTTCTTTTGCTATTGCTTGCAGATTAAAAATAGAGAAGTCTGCAAGGGAGATGTCTCGCCAAAACCCTACATTTTGGATAAAGATCTTTATTGCTTGGAAATGTCAAAATCTGGTAGGACACAGCAGCCTTGACACAAGTGTTATTTCTTAAAATATTGCTTTGAACTGTTATATAAAACCTATTTTAACTTGAACTGTATTGGCAGTGAATAATAGATGCCATAACAACTTTATATATAGCACTGTAAAATGTGCCATCAGAAATACATGAGCTGAACTGTAATGTGCATTGTCAGTGCTCAGTGCTGGCACAAGCTCTGTCATAGCAAATATATATAATTTAGCATCCGTGCCTTTCATTGGCACCTGTGGTCATGTGAAAAACGGAAGGAGATAAAACTTCGAGGAGAAATGGATAACCATTCAATGGAGAAACTTCGAATTTCATCTGGTGACTGGAAAGACCTATAAAAAAAGATGCTAAATGCCATATTGATTCAGAAAGCCTCCAGTGATCCTCCCCATGCAGCTAGCTTCTCCAGAGGTGATGAAAAAGGAAGATGAGACGAACCCCTCCCAGACCCCACCACCATTTCCTTGGAGTCACTACCAGGTCATCCCACCTCCTCCACAACCCTCTTTCCTTTCTTATAGCAGTCTCCTGTCCCACTCCTGTGCTTCCCGGGCTGCTAACACAGCAGTGGGCATTCTCCTACCATGAAGAGTGGGGAATAGCTGAGACACAAGTATACCAGGGAAAGGGCAGATTTGGAAAGCAGGGCTTGCTCCTGGTATTGGGAACGGTTGTCCCTGAAATAGCAAGGTTCACTTCATCTATCCTGACTTCCCTACACTCCTTTTTCTTTCCGCCTCCACAGGAGGAGCAACAGCAATAAGAGCTCAGCCCATGGAGGTAGGCAGCTGCCCATTTTGTCAGCTACCAAACCTGACACTACCAGGACCAACCACATCACCTCTCAGCCCTGAAAACCAGCAGATGCCGGTCAGTTTATACAGATAATTGCAGTTACCAAAGTACTTAGCAGTCAGGAAGTTAGTCATTCAGATCAAATAAATACAAGGTAAGTCTAGCTGAAACACAGTTTAATGATTAATCGCTACTGGATGGACAGACATTTCAAACTGGAGACCATCAGTTGCAGATGCCTGTGCGGCCATGGAGAGTGGCCCAGTGGAAGGGTGCTAGGAAAGCATTTAGAGAAATTAGTTCAAGTGTCAACTCTGCCATCAACTCCTTATGTGCCCTGGGCACTGGTCGTACTGATCTTAAGTCACTTACCTATAAAACAAGGATGAAAGCTTCATCCTACACCTCAGAGGGAATTGGGAGGGTAAGTTGTTTAGCATGTGCCTTCCTCATTTCGGTCAGAAGACACAGTAAATAGCAAGAAGGACACACACACACACACACACACACACGGCTCCCTGGGGTATTTCCACAGGTTTCCATTTCTTTCTTTTTGTATTTATGCATAACTCAGGCATTATCTTGGCTGATGTGAGCAGGTGGACAGTTTTCTCCAGTAATATATGGTCATCAGAGCATGAGAGCCAATGCTGTCTGGTGATGCTTTGCTAACTTTTGGCAAGCGAATATATGGCGAGAATACCTCCATCCAGTTTCTAATCATCAGTTGAGGATATCCTGAAGAAAGCAAAACACGTCAACAGAACTTCATTTTAGTCGATGCTTCTCTTGGCAAAAGAGAAGGAGAGTTGGATAGGGTGTGGCAACAGGTGTGAGGGAAATGCTTTTTTTTTTAGGAAAGGTTGTTCCCTCTGGGTCAGTGTTGAGAAATGTTGTTGTTCATTCCCTACCTGTTTTGAAGAGAAGTGATAGATGCCAGCCTCCACGCCTGTCAGTCA